CCCTAACTTCAGCCTATTGCTCTCAAATCGATCCCCGGTGAGAGCTTTAGTAAAGATGTCTGCAATTGAATCTTCATTCCTGCAGTATTTCATGATGATGTTCCCCTTCTCAACATTATGTCTAAAAAAGTCATGCCTGACAGCAATGTGCTTGGTTATTTTGTGTTGGACTGATTCTTTCCCATGCTAACTGCACTAGCATTATCACAGATGAGAGGAATGGTGTTGATGTGGACTCCAAAATCCTCAAGCTATTGTTTTATCCAAAGAAGTTGGGCACATCTGGAAGCAGCAGCTACACACTAAACCTCAACTGTTGAGAGAGCCACTAAATGAGTGAGGATCCAAAGAAATGTGTCATTCCAGAAGTGCTCTTTCTATCAAGTTGATATCCTCATGATTCTCTTAGCTTCCTTTAGATGAGATTTTATGGGACATTTTTGGAACCGTGCACACATTTCCACGGTGAATACCATGTCTGACCTGCTTTCATATGAAACTTCTTCAGCAGCTCCTTTGTATGCTTCCCTTGACATTTTAAGGTGTCATAGGAGGTTTGCTTAATCTGCATACCCATGAAGAAGTTTAGCTCTCCCATCATACACATCTCTTATTTGTTTCCTATGAGAGTAGCAAATTCTTCATACAGATGTTCAGAAGTTTCTCTGAAGATGATATCATCCACATACACCTGAATGATGACAAATTCTTGATCTATTTTTATAAAACCCAATGTATTGTCAATTTTCCCCCTATTGAAGCTATTTTTTAGTAAACACTCTGACAACCTTTCATACCAGGCTCTATGTGCCTGCGTCAGACCATACACATCTTTGTTGAGTTTGAACACATGATTTGGGAAATTTGTATCCTCAATTCAAGGTGGTTGTTTAACATATATTGCTTCCTTCATATAACTGATATACCGTGGTTTCACGGTATTATTAATACTTTTTCCTTAAGTTTAGTGTGTCCAAAAGCCTTTTTGTGCTAATTTTTATATAAGTTTCTTTTGATTTTACAGGAAATCTGTCCAAAGCTGAATGCGGAGATTTTGACCGAAAAAATGCTGAAGAGACCACCTACGGAGCATATGACGGTCCGTCGTGCTTATGACGGTCCGTAGGTGGTAACGAAGTGCAACTGCTGAAGGAAGATGGGGAAGTCTGACCAAGTGTTGGGTTACGTAGCTTGTGACGGTCCGTCGTATCTATGACGGTCCGTCCTGCAGGTTTGTCATGAAGTTCAGAGAAGTGATCCCAGCACCCATATTTCAAGAGTTGAAGTTTTTTGAAACGAAGGCCCTCGACGGACCGCTGTGCCTATGACGGTCTGTCATACTTGCCGTCGAGGGTAATGAAAGAGAGCAGCTGAAAAAATTGCATAAGCATGGGACGTCGGAGTCCATGACGGTCCGTCGTGACCATGACGATCCGTCGCGAGGTCTGTCGACCTAGCTGTGTTTTGGCAGATTTCCAGCAAATAGAGTCCTTGTTTAATTAGGTTTTTTATTTTTTTATAAATAGTTTGAAAAACCTCATTTTTGAGGTTAGACTCTTAGACGGTTAGACTCTGGATTGTTAGACATCATACTCTTAGACTTTGTTTATTAGTGTGAGATTCTTGATAATTTTAGAATTTTGATTATCATTGATTGTTGGTGATTTGTGGTGATTAATCAAGCAAACTTTTAGATTTTACTCTTTCTCATTGAAGTAAGTACATGAATTCTTATTTAATATATTTGAATATTGTGATTATGACTATGAGAAACTAAACTCCATGACTAGGGTTGTGGGAACCATAGGCAAATAATAAGATAAAACCTAACTAAAATAACAATTCTAAAATAGTGTCTTGCATGTATTAATAATTCTTTCGCTTAGAAGTCTTTTTAACGGATGGCCAACGTTAGAACTCGCCTTAATGCTACTTGCCCGACCAAGGAGGTAGATAATAGGAAAAGAATTATTAACATAGATTTAGTGTATACTATCTAATAGGCTAGTATTGATTGGTACGAGGTAATAACTTAGTCAAATATTGAATGCGGTGCTTAATATGAGGTAAAGATAAGGGTTAGGAAAGCAACACACGTAGCCGGACCAAGGTGCGGAGTGATATTTTCTAGATGCCGGACCAAGGATTTAGAAATACATAACTTATCATTTTGCATGCAAGATACTACGAAAGAATTGTTATAGTTAGAATTACCATGTTATGAACCTGTGGGGAATACGTAAACCCTAGTTACTTCGATTAATTGATTAAAATCCAACATTCAAAGCTGTTAAGTGTCTCTTTCAATTGTGTTAGTTATTTTCATTCATTTAGATAGAAACCCCCCTTTTATTGTTTTTTACTTTCCAAAGAAGTCATTGACCAAACAATAGTAATAACACGTTGAAGTTAAGTCTAGACTATTTTCCTAGTGGGAACGATCCCAGCCTCACTAGTTGGGTTATTTACTTGACACGACCGCTTTACTTCTTATTTGAGAAGTAAGTTTGAGCGTACCAATAACCATTTAAAAGGGCACTTTTAACATCCATCTGAAACAGTTTGAACCCAATGAAACTTGCAAATGCTATGAGGATTCTGATAGCCTACATTCTCATCCAGCTTATTTTTGAACACCCACTTGGTCCCAATAATTGTTCTGTCAGCAAGTCTTGGGACCAAGTACCGCACATTGCTTCGTTCAAATTGATAGAATTCATCTTGCGCAAAGATTACTCAATAAGCATCCATCAGGGATTCTTTCAAATTTATAGGCTTAATAGTAGAGATAAATGCAACCAGATTCCTTGTTTTTGACCTGGTTTGTATCCCAGAATTCAGATGAGAGATGATATTTTCAAGGGGGTGAGATAAACTATGCTTCCATCCAGATCTAGAGCTCAGAGACTGTTGTTGATCCATCTATTTTTCTTCATCTTCAGAATCATCATTTGTAGTGGGAGGATGAGTTCCTCTTGGCATGCATCATTAGAAGGACCAGGTCCCACAGTAGGTTGGCTGTCCTCTTTCACCTTCTCAAATAGACTAAGATCAGCAACATCAGAGTCAAGTTTCACCTGAACTTCATTCCTACTTACAACATGGTTCTTGAATTTTAATAGCTCAAGCAAATAATCATCATCGTTCATATCAACAGTCTCAGACTTTGACTTGAGAAACATAGACCACATAATTTTGAGTAGTCATCCACAACCACTAAAATGTACTTTTTCTCACTTAAGCTTTGGATCTTCACCGGTTCACACAAGTTCATATGTATTAACTCAAAAACCCTTGAAGAACTACTTGCTTTTTTTATTTTAATGAAAATCTGATTTTTTTTTCCTTTAACACATGCATCACACACTTAACTGTCATTGAATTTCATCTTTGGCAGACCACGTACCAGGTCCCTATAAACCAATTTGTTCAGTAGAGAAGAGCTCACATGACCTAATCTCATGTGGCGGAAGTTACCATTTTCACTTTGAGCACTTAGGCATGTCAAATCATCCCCATGAGTTATTTCTAGTTCTATCGCATACATTTTTCCTTCTTCTGGCTGTCAAAATAGCCCTCTTTTTGCAACTGCCAAAAATTGACACCTCCTACTTAAAGTGCCATGAGTGAAAGGAAGTTTTTGGTATTTCCAGTTATGTGCTTTGAGCAGCCACGTTCCATGAACCAACATGTGCTGCTACTTCCTTCACTCACCTGCAATAAAATTAGTTGTTAGATTTGGGAACCCACTTCAATCTGAGTTCCCAATAAGCTGACAAAGGTGTAATGAGAGTGTTTATTGCCCAGTGTGGAAACTTTGTCTTCTTCAAGTTTAACACACTATGAACTAGAGCAGATCCTCTATTTCTAGCAGTTTCTTCTCTAGGCTTTTTGCCAGTAGGACCAAGTCCCGTTATCTGAGTTCTTTCTGCTTAGAAAAGACACAGAGATTTTTCTTGTGAAGCTTTCCAGGAAGGACAATTTCCTTTCAGATGGTTGTTTCAACCATAGTGAAGATACAGTAAATTGTCTGAGACAAACACATATTTGTTGTGGGGGTCGTAACGAGGAGTAATGTTCAAACTTCCTGACCCCCTTTTGTTATAGTTGCTTTTACTTGTAACATTAGATAGAAGTTCGTTTGAGATGGTCTATTTTAAAGATACTTGTATTTCCGCTTTAAGACGGACCAAGTCCCTCTCCATCTGATTATTTCGTTCTCGGGCGAAGGCAAGTCTAGTTTCTGCCGTGTTTAAGTTGCTTTCTAACTCTGCCTACACATTAGTACCTTCCCCCCTCCTTTTACCAGATTTGTCAATCATCAAATCCAAGTTCTCCTTAAGCTCTTGTTTTACATATTCAAGAACCATCATTTGTTTCTCAAGAACAGACATCTGAACTACCATTACTTGCTTTTCTTCATTTATACCATCAAGACTATTGCTTATGGATTTCCTTTCAGTAGTTAACTCTATAAAAGATTCAATCAAGACATTTGATAACCTTCTCAACCGTTTAATAGAGTACGTACTCAAGTTTTGCTTAAAGTCAAGAAGAGTTACCTTATCTTCATCATCATCCTCATCTTACTTAGCAACGAGAGAAAACATCCCATTGAATACATTAGCCTCATCTTGAATCACCAGCATTGATTCATCTTTGGGACAATTTGAATCTCCTGACTTTCTTGAACAGTCTCCCCATGCAGCAAGAGCATTCTTCACTACATAGTGAGCTGCAGCTTTTCTCGCACTTTTGTCTGGTACCAGGTCCCTTTCTTAGTTCTTTTCACCTCCTGGCCTTTGATACTTCTTGTTTTCAGCTTTGAGCATCGGACAGTCCCTTATAAAGTGCCCAGTCATTCCACATTTGTGACATGAATCACTAGCAGTTGCAGCTCGAGGAGGGTTTCCTCCTTTTTTAAACCTTCTATTTTTTCTTATGATTTTCTGAAATTTCTTGGGAAGATAGTCCATATCATCTTCTTCACTACACACTTCTCAAGGAGAAAATTTGAGTACTAGAGACTTGTCTTTCTTGGACTCCTTCTTTGAGAGGTCTTGACTTCTAGTCATTTCATATGTCTTGAGATTTCCAATAAGAGCATCCATCCTCAAAACTTTCAGATCCTTGGCTTCAGTGATAGCATATACTTTGCTTTCCCATGACTTAGGATGAATTCGAAGAACTTTGCTAACTTGCTTACTAGTACTGATTGTCTCTCCAAGACATCGTAGATCATTAGTTATTGAGGAAAGTTTAGTATACATGTCATGAATAGTTTTCCCTTCCTTCATTCTGATATTTTCATATTGAGAAGAAAACATATCCACCTTTGATTCCTTCACCTGCTCAGTACCTTTATGAGAAGTCCTGAGACAATCCCAGATATCTTTTGCTAATTTGCATGCAGAAACATGATTATATTCTTCAGCGCCTATACCACAAACCAACATCTTCTTAGCCCTGTAACCTTTCTCAGTGTTCTTTTTGTCTGCTTCGCTGTATTGTTGACGATTCTTTGGAACAATTCCAGTTGCCTCACCGTCCTTTACTTCAGAGGTTGGCATAAAAGGCCCATCAATACAATGTTCTATAATTAACTATCCTTAGCCATAAGATATTCATGCATCTTGTTTTCCACCAACTATAGAAATGAACATTGAAACGTGGCGGTCGAGTTGAGGATTGCCCTTCTTCTAGGTTAAGTGGAGAATCCATTTTGATACACGAACCACTCTCTTGGTATCAACGAGCTAGACAGCTCCTGATCTGATACAACTTATTATAATACGTGCATCCACTTACCTGTCAATTGACTAGGTCCCTTGACACAACTCAAATTAAGAACAAAGTGTAAGTAACAACAGAAAATAGTACAAGCAGTTTACGTGGAAACCTCCTTGATCAAGGGAGTAAAACCACGACCTGTCACACAAGATTTTCAACTGTTTTCACTAATCTTCACAAGCAAAAGTGGAACTCAATTACAACAACGTGAGAAAAATCTATTAATCTCAAAAACAAGCAATAAATCTATTGCTTAAAGCCTAAGCAGATTTCACTCTGCCTACTAAGATATAACCTCTAGACAATTTAGGATTCAACTAAGCAACACACAAGTTGCCCACTAAATCACCACACTTCGAATGACTTAGGATTTTTGCCAAGAAACACACAATGTTGCCCACTAAATCAGTTGGACTCAATTAATTTAGGATTTTCACCCCCAAACACCTATCTGATCCCTTTATAGATGGAGGAAGAGATTTACAATTTATGTGCAGAAGAAATAATCTTAAGATAACTAAGCTTCCAGCTCTTTCAGATTTGAGTTGATCTTGAGGATGCTTTTTCACTCCTTTTGTAAGCCTTTGCAAGAGTTCTTGAGATGCCTTTTCAAGTTGCAAAAACTAATTTGGAGTATTTGGATGTTTTTTTTATGTAGAAAGGTCACAAAACGTAAAACAGTCCCATTGGATAAGGTATCTGGCGCATCTTCCACGTCTAACACTGTTAGAGATTGTGAACCAACTTTTTGTACTTTCTCCAGCTGGCAATAAATAATATATTGATCGAAGAACCGGGCTCCTTAATTAGGTCCCTATGTTTGTCAAATCACCAAAACTACAAATAACGAAAATGCATAAACGCGTTTAAAAAATCCATCTCATACACGTTTTCTATCGTGGTGGACATGGACAATCAAATACGTTTAAAATAACAGCAACAAAGAATAAAATTTTGATAACGATCTTTGCTATTCCTATTTGACCACCTCTTTGTTCCCTTTTAATGATTCTACAAATGTGGCTACAAATAAACACCTAGAGGCTATGCAACTGTTGTTGATCTTAGATCTACTATGTTCTACCCGGGGCGGAGCTATGAAATATATGTTAAATATCGACATTTTTGAATATATATTAATTATTGAATAACCTTGACACAATAGAGGTAGATAGACCAATTACTAAGGTTGTGCAGAGCCGCCTCAATGTTTCGGTTCAAGCTCAAGTTTAGGCATCTAGTTTGGTTTTCCATATTCCGTTTTTCTATATAAAAAAAAAAGAAGTTCAAAAGTGACCTGTTTTAAGTTAAGAAAATCAAAAGGTCTTCTTATGACTTTTCTTAATTTAAAAAACGTCACAACCAGAATCAACCCCTGGACGTGGTCGGTACTGAAAAATCGTTGTTGGTCCCCAAGCGAACCCCGGTCCTTTTTGACTATAAGCAGAAGACTAACTTACTCACACAAAAGCATAAAAATAGAAACATATGTTCATAAAAGTTAAATACAAACTTTAACCCAAAAGAAAACTTTGAATAATCAAATATATACTAACCTAAAAATAGGAAACTTAAGTCTTTATAAGATTTAATAAAATAAATGAATAATACAGAACTGTCAATTATACTGACTATCTAGGAAGCCTCTAACTGACAAAGTCGGGACAAGACCCACGATATCCTGACTAAACCAAAATGTAAATAAGATCCTTTGGAAGCTAGGAGGCTCACCGTAGCTAATTAGAACTCTATATGGATCAGCAAAGCTTCTCTTGATGATCCTGAACACTCGTGTCTGCATCATGAAAAGATGCAGGACAAATGGCTCGGTACGTGGAATGTATGAGCATGTAAGGGGAACTCTAGAGCTTAACATAAGCTTGAAACTTGATAAAAATGGAAACATACTTACCACTTTTCAAACATTAAACTCAACTCAAGGAGTACTCAAGGATATTCAAAACTACGCAACTTACTAAGACTCATTCTATTTTATTTAAGTCAGCTACTTCATTTTATAATGAGTTAAATCGTCTTAAACAATGTCGGAGAACAAAAAAGTCCTAAAGAAATGAAGTATCGTAGGCCTAAGGCAAAATCTAGTCTATTCATAAACTAAAGGCCAAGCCTTCTTAATTATACCATAATAACACCATCCAAGTCAACTCACAAAAATAGAACTAAACACATAATCTCTAATTAGCATGGTACTATGCCCAAAATAGAACCAATCAAGTCCTATAACATGGTATCAAGAAAAGAAAATAAAAAACTAGCTACCTGCCCCCAATTAAGTCTAATCAAAATGTTATTACACATTCAACTACAACCTAAGAGAAGGGAAGTCATAGTCTACCTTTAGGCTGATCTCAGGTTCTCTAAAATCAAAATCTCAGAACCTTTCCCTTGTGAACGGCCTCAAAATGTTATCACACTATCAAAAATAGGATCACAACACCAATATGGTGATTTAAACACCAAATACACATGAACAAAAATAGGAAAACTTTTGAATCAAATGGGAATCATGTGTGTTCTAAAATGGAACACAATAGGGTCTATAGAGTAGTCAAGAGAACCAACATACAATAATTCAAAATTTACAGCACAAAAGCAAGTCATGACAACATAAAATAACTCAAATTTACCTCGAATTGAGATCCTACAATAGTTTTCGACCATCGACTCACAAAAACTTTTATTTAACAATCATTAACAACAAACTACACTTTGTTGGGTAAAATTACCTCTCTATAATAGTATTACTCAAATATTAATTGAGTAATACTCCATCCGTCCCATTTTTTTTTTGAGGTAGTTTGAATCGATACAAAGTTTAAGAAAGAAAGGAAGACTTTTAAAACTTGTCGCGCAAAATTAATGATAAAAAAATGTGTGGTTGTAAATCATTTCATTAAGGGTAAAATAGACATTTTTAGTTAAATAATTACTTAATCTATAAATATATCATTCTTTTTGGGACAGACTAAAAAATAAAGTAACTCATATAAAATGGGACATATGGAGAAATATTTTGTAAAAGATCTATTACATATTAGGATAAAATATTGAAATACTTATGGTAATCCTTATTAGTGTCATGTACATATAAAATTTCAAGTATGCATATTTAATACAAAATTTATACTTAAATGATGTACATCATTTATGTTCATAACCTCAAGAGGAAAGACTATAGGCCACATTTTTAAATGGCTATCTTTTTTTCTATTTTGTGGGGTAGATTTGTTTACAAAATTGACTGAGTTAAGAAATAATACTACTAAAGAAATTTCACTTTCTCCAAAATTTAAACTTTTGAATTTATTCTAAATTTTTTAATGATATCTGGTCATTTTGATCTATAAACTATAAGTAACTCTTTGATGAAATTTTCAATTATAATTATTTAAAATAAATTAATAAACACCGACCTCAAGAGGCTAATATATTTAAATTATTATATTATTTAAATCTAATCGACTTCATGATGTAGATTTTTACTAAACATTTGTGAAATATATAATTATATTAAAAGATACTGACATCCCGTGGTTGGTAAATTATCACTTGTTTTAAAAAATAAATGATGATTAATTTCCCTTTTTACTCAAACCCTAACTACCCCACTAGTTCACTCCCATGCCCCTTGATCGACCCCGGCGCAACACCAGCGCCGCAGCAGGAGGACGATACAACATTGCTAGCCGCAGGCAACAGGTAAGTTTAACATTCAAAAATTCATTTTTAGTCCTCATTTAACACATATCTTTTGTCTTATGATTGGTTGTATAGCTTCTCTGAGCCTCGTGTGTGTGTGTGTGAGAGAGAGAGAGAGAGTTATTAGGATTAGGAGACTAAACTCAAGACTTAGTAAAAATAGGATTTCATTAACTTAATAAACATCTGATTTATTTTAATTAATACGTGAAAGGACCATTATTCCCTTAACACAATCAACTATTGGATTTTGGTAGATGTTCATGGTTTGAATTTTCTGGTAACAAATGTAATTCCTTCTGTCATTTTGATGGATTGTAAATTCTTCATGTTGGAAAAAATATTTATCAATCTACATTGCTTGAGTTTCAATATGTTTCAAGCTTAGCGCCTTCAAAGCATGATATTACAAAGATGAGACTAATATTTCTTTAAATATAAAGAGAATGACTAAGAGTTTTCTAATTGAGGATGTCGTTGAAGAATTTTGAGGTTTGATTTTCTCAAAATAGATGAATTAGTTCATTAGTTAGACCTCTCTTTATTGTACTTCTTTTTTATCAAAACAACTAACTGATTTCCATTCTTAATTAAGTGTGCAGACATTTTGTTGTCAATAATAAATAATAATTCTTCGATTTATAATATAAAGAGGAAAATTAAATTTAGAAGCATTAATTTTCTTGTATTAAATATCTCTATTTACATTGTTTTTTCTGAGAGCTCTATAATCACTTAAACTTACATTACATTGATATTACTGAGTTTCAGTTTATTCTCTTCTTCTGTGATTTAAGGCTATATATTCTTTATTTCCTAGTCTATGTATTTCTCGTTGAATCTAAACCGCCTTTATGTCTATATAGAAATTATCAGAATCGTGGCGACAATATTTACCCAACTGACAAAAAATTGGAAGGTGCATTGTTTTTCGTCAAGGGACAGATAAAAGAATTTGGCCTACCTATTATCATTGCAGATTCAAAGTTTGAAGTTTTAACAAGTGCATGGGATAAAGTTACTACAGCTTATAACATGAATGCGGGAGATAAATGTCTTT